CCCCAAAACCCCAAAACCCCAAAACCCCTAAAACAACAGTTCGACTTGGATTAGTAAAATTTAAATATTATCTATATCATCCAAATTGCTGACCATTTTCTATACGACAGAAAAATGGAAAATTTTGGTGCCTCCTTCTCTTTCTCTAAAAGTCATATCTCTCTTGAACTGAATTCCTTCGTTAAAGCCAATAACTTTCCCCTGATATTTAGCGTCTGTCACCTTTCTTCTTAGCTTATTCGCCTTAGGAGTGGCGTGAGAAAACATATCTGACCCTCTTGGAGTGATTTCCAGAATGTTATGCATGCTTTTCTAGATAATAATTATGAGTTAGTGAAATCAGAGTCAGGAATTATGGATAATTTAATGGATTGGTTTTAAAGAAGGATTTCTAAAATATATCAGATATCATTTAGAGGAGGAACAAGAAATTTAAAGTATGCAAAGAGTAAGATGGCATATAGGAAGGAGAGGAGAGCTAGTAGATTTTGAGCTTTGAATTACTCTATGATTTCGTTTCTGACATTTCAATCTAGAAATTAGATGAATAACATACTGTTGAGCTAAGAAAGCTGTACTACTTGGCTTCTTTTCTTGGATGGCATTAGTAAAAGTATTTTTATAAGTCTTTAAATATTTTTCCTCAGCAGCTTCGTCTTCAAAATCATCGAGAAGTTCACTAAAATTAAATTCTGAAATGTTATTTTGTGCTCTTTCGTAGTTTGACCTTGCTTTCTTCAGAATTTTCCTCATGAGATTTTCGCCTAAATTATTAAAATTCATAACCGATGTCCGATCACCAAGTGATTATTAATATAATTGATAATTATAATGATTTAGAAAGCATAGCCGATAAAACTTCTGAAATTTATAAATGCTGCCCAGACCAATCCTCTCTCTAATAGGCCAGAATTTCCTCAGTCTATGTGTCTTTAACCGTAATTATTAATAAAAACTATTATATTACGGGAAGATCTCTCTCCATATTCTGTTCTAAACTACTGATTTCTATTAAACTCAATACAAAGCGTACTGCTAAATTAGTTCAACAGACCCAACCACCACCTAAGTTGTAAACATCTAACCAGAATCTGAAAATACTGCATTCCTTCATTCCCGAATTCTCCCTTCTTCTGCCCAATTCTCCAAACAAAATCGAAAAGAATAAATAGTCCTATGTCCCAAATATTTCCACTTATGGCTAAAGTGCAAAATTTGGTACTCCTTCAAGCGCACTTACACCATCTTATAATTAGACATCCCATTCTTGGGTGGCCTAATTGTCTTCTTGGACTTCCTCTTTTTCCTCCTCATCTTCTTTTTATCATTATTTCTTGCACTTTGAGGATTGCTATAGGTTTGATAAGATCTCTAAGCATGATAGTGGGACCGAGGTCTCTTAGTAACTGAACCATGTGGGAATTTTGGATATAAAGAACTTACTCCATGATATAATCCTGGGGATCGGTATTAACGATCTCAACTTTTTCATCTCTTTTTGAGCATCATCATTTGCTCCCCATTTTTGTAAATATTTTAGATGCTACCAATTATTTTCTTTTAATCTGGGGTTTTGGGGTTTTGGGGTTTTGGGG